AATTGACGTCTAATATGGCGAATTGTACCATATATCACGTGATTTTTTTATATCAGTGCAAGACCCTCTTTGTAAATGGAGTTCCATCTACACTAAGAATGATCATTTATCCGCGATTTCTGAGGACAATCCTCTGATGAGGTGCGTTACCTCTGGTAAGAATATTCCCAAAAGTTCAAGAAAACGTTGTTTCAACATATCCTTCCGTTTTATTTCTTATATTATGAAGCCTGTTGTAGAAATACATGAATAAATAAATATTTAGCCAGTTTTTAATAGTATGATTGTTAGCTATTTAATTTTAACGTGATGAAGAAATATCAAATGTTCATTTTCAAAGTATAAATCATAGATATGTACTGCATGTTTTCATAAGATTTATAAGATATTCTTTCTGGAAAACAATAATAAAACTATTTGAATGTAAGATTGTTGAAACACAATAATAATGTAATTTCTGTAATAATTCCTTGAAAGTTGTGAAAGTAGGATGTCACTATAAAAATAGATACAAAATCAGAATTATCAATAAAAAGCTCTAAGTAATGATTTGATTTGAACACTAAATTCATTAAAAGTTTATCAAACGGGAAAGTTCGTGAAAAGAATACAATATTTACTTTTTTCACTCAGATTTTTAAAAACTAAGACGTAGACACAAAATAAGACATAGCAACATTTGTTGCTATAAATCAGCAGAATATCCAGCTCTTAGAACAATTTATTATTTATATTCTTATGATATATAGATCTTTCACCAATATCTTTTTTGACTGATAGACCTATACCTCGTAGTAGTTTGGTTGTATATTTTAACGTTTCACCAGTACGTACATGTTGCCGAACTTTACTTTAAAAAAATTGAATCATGTAACTTATCTCAAGAGTCACGTGTAAACTTATTAAAATACCTTTTGATTTACTTTTTAAAATACCGATCCTCTGTATAATGTCGTGACTTGTTTAACTTATTAAACTACTGTTACGACAGCGGAAGTCATCTGACGCTGCTAGCGCATGCGTGACTGAGTTTCTCGAATTATCAGGGTAGTTCGAGTGTGATCGAGACTCCTCTTTGTTAGTATATAAGCAGTGTATTTGGCAACGAGCCTGAAGGGACAACCCCTGGAAATACTTGGACAGTTGTCAGCAGACGACAGGCACAACT